TAATAATAATAATAATAATATGCTCTATACCAGAGTGCACTCCAATAGTCAAAAACAGTTAAAATACAACCATAACTTAATTACAATGACACAAATCATTGTTGAAGAATCATGCTGAAATCATGTTGAAGAATAAATTAACAGTAATTGAACAGCTTTTGCCTTGGAATATATTTAGTTTATGCTCGACATATTAGTTTCATAACAGACACACTTGCAGCAGACACCTAGCAGCAAATAGTTACAATTGAACATCTACATATCAACAGGGAGAAGACTCATACTAACAGACAAGTTATCAGATCAACATCTGATAGTTAACCCTTTAAGTGCTTATTGGCTAACACTAGACAGAATCTGATTGGTTGCACATTCTCTATTATGCAAATACAACTCATTCATTCTTACATACATATCTATACATGCTGAATTTCATAATAATGTATTCTAAGATACAGCACCACACTCCTACAGAGACACTTATAACGCAAAACTTTCTGTCAAAACAATGAAATTCAATGGGGGGGAAACAATACAAACCATCCATGAATAAGTCTGAGGAAGTGTTCATGAAAGCTCACATTAAAATATAGGAGCTACGGTAGTCTTTAAGGTGACACAATATATTTGTCTTCTTTATTTTTTATTTTGTTGTTTGTTTTTGGCCTGAGGTTTATAACAGACACAATATATATTCATTTGGTGACTTTTCTTATGAAACCCACCATGCAGTCTCTGTTGAAGAACATTAAACATAAAACCGAAATAATGTCCCCCTCAATTTAGCTATGGAGACAGAAGGACTGCTCAACAAACTTTTCAACTAGCAGTTAACTGATGATTGTTGTCAGCAAGAAGGATCAAAGGGGGATGACTCCTTGTTTATCACTGCAGAACCACATCAGAGTGGTACTTGATTCCTTGATCATACATCAGTGTTAATGGCCTTGCAGTATCTGCTTGTTGCTCAATCTTCCTGTAAAAACTGAAAACTATTGTCATCTAGCCACATTAAAACCTCATAATTTCATGCTGAGAGGATGTGAATGACGAGCAAAATCCTTCCTGTTTGGGAAGTCCATTAACATTTATGGCAGACACAGAGTGAGTGATGTAGTATCAGTCACAGTCACCCTATCTGCCTAAGCAAGACGTAGGACATTACCATGCCTCCTGAACTGAAAGGCAATGATTTAGAGGTGGAAACTGAGCTTATGAATTCATGTTTGCACACTATTCCTGAGTTTTACTGTAAAATGGGGGGGGGGTTAATTTCTCCACTCACCACCTCATTTCATTCTTCCTTCAACATCCTTCCTTCCATAAGACTCCTGAATAGGAAATACAGCTATTGTGACTGAGATATCAGTCATCAAAGACTTCTGACTTTCTTGCAATTGGTCCTTATAAGGGAACAAAATGAGAAATGGACTGTTGCCATCCTGAACCATCAGCACTTAGGAATCTGAATGAAGAAATACCATGCTTGATGATGGACTGAATTAGGCTCTTTTGCCTATTTATGCTATTAAAGGTAAAGGTTCCCCTTGACATTTAGCCTAGTCGTGTCCAACTCTAGGGGGCGGTCCTCATCCCTGCCTCCAAGCCGTAGAGCCAGCGTTTGTCCGTAGACAGTTTCCGTGGTCACATGGCCAGCGCGACTAGACACAGAATGCCATTACCTTCCCACCAAGGTGGTACCTATTTGTCTACTCACATTTGCATGCTTGTGAACTGCTAGGTTGGGAAGAGCTGGGACAAGCGACAGGAGCTCACTCCGTCACGTGGATTCAATCTTACGACTGCTGGCCTTTTGATCTTACAGCACAGAGGCTTCTGCGGTTTACAGAGAAGTAAGCTGAAATAGCTGAAGAGAGAACAAAATGGCACGTACCTTGCCTCTCTAAACAGTCTTGCTTCAGCCACGAGGCTTAGTTTCCTACAGTCAGGAGACTTAACTACCTCCAATCATGAGCCTTATGGAACTGACATCAGCTGATCCTGAACAAACCAATTAGAATACACCTCCTTGGAGGTGGAGCCTGTAGGCTCAAAATACTGAGCTCGGACAATGAATCCTCAAGCTAAGTTTTCTTAATTTTGGGGTTAGAAAATTGGGAGGGGGCGTCTTATAAATGGAGGTGTGTCATAAACGGAAAAATACAGTACTTACATGGTAAGTTCAGATCAGCTATAAAACATAGTGGCTAACATTCAAGCCTCATATATAAACTAAACGGATTCTGAAACTGGAGGCTTTTAGATTACTCTCTTCCACACAACATAATGAAAACTCAATCTCCCATCCAATACATAGAAAATGAATGCTTGGCTAGGGGACCCTGGGAGCTGTTGTAAAAAAGTAACTCTTCCATGCTCTGCTCTCATCCTTTCTCCCAGGAAGCTTAAAAAACAACAACAAAACACTGACATGCAATTCTCAATTTCAAGGCTATCAACAGTTGACCCCTTAAACTGGGCAAAAGCAAAGTCCATTTCTGGGAGCTGGGCAATGTAATTGTTACATGATCCCAAATCTTCCTCTAGTCCTATTTTGGAACTAGCAGGCGGTGTCACCAGGGACAACCAACCAATCTGTGAGCAAAAGAGTGAAGCCTCCAGACATTTACTCTTGCTTCTTTTTAACACAAAACACCTGTGGCAGCTAAAGCCAACTGAAAGATTATTTTGCTTGGAATGGATTATTAGCTTTTCTTCAGCCACTAGCTTATATTTTAAACTGCTGAATGGGGAGATTGCTGGTCCCCCCCCCCCCCCGGTGTGCTGCGATGTGGCAGCAAACTGCTGAGACACATGCTGAGTTAGATTCTATGTTGCCTTCCTGTCCAATTTAGTCTCTTGCCCCTCATTCCTCAGACACAGGAGGCAGAGATCTTTTTTAGACTTCCCTGTGCTTTATTTTTTATGGTCTTGCGTTACTTAAGACACACAAAAATGAGCCTGCACAAGCTCATTCCCCAGGCATTATAAAGCAGAAGTGCTGTGCCTTCTTGGCCCCTAGGGCCACATCTGGAGTATGAGGGTCAACAAGGACCTATGAAGGAACATGTACAAGTCTAACCAATTTGGAGATTATGCTACCAGTGCAACAGTTTTAATGGATACGCAGTACAAGTCGATCCATGGCATCTAAAATTTAATTACCTTTTAACTGTTGCAGCACCAGTCTTTTTCCTATATC